GAAAAAAAGAAAAGGAGACTGACCAAATCATATGGAGCAAGCTAGAGGTGTTCCTCCATGGCCTCTGCATTAGCTCCTGCAGAATCCAGAAGCAGAGGCAGGTGGATCTCTGTGAGTACAAGGCCAGCCTGGTCTATGTGAGAAGTTCCAGGACAGCTAGGGCTACCTAGAAAGACCCTTTCTCAACAACAAAAGATTGGCATGGAGTTTTACAAAGTTGGGGAGATTTATAGAATATTTGTCCTCAGCAGGCTTAGCTACCTTTGATGGAAGAAAATTTTGCTCTCATAGGTCAACCTGACCTACATAGCCAGCTAGGGTTACTTAGTGAGACCCTGTCTCAAAATGAAAACATTAATTTTATCTTGGGATTAGGACAGAATTTACAACAATTTCTGAAATGGCCCTAGACATACTTCCGCCACTTTTTGTACTATGTATTTATGTGAAATGATGCTCACACCATTGATGATTTTAAACTCAAAATACCCATCAACTCTGATCAACATTGATGGTGCCCTATGTCCTATAGCATCAAATATCCAGCAATATTTCATTTTTTTTCTGTAGAAATAAACAAGCACCTTCATCCCATTGCTGTGCAACTTGCTTCCATTTTTAGTAAGTTGTAAAATTATTGTGCGTACCAAGGAATCCTGCATGGACTTCACACAATGGAAGGCCCTGTGAAAGAAGGTGAGAAGCCTTGCCTTTCCAAGGCTCATACCTGGGAGTAGGTGTTGGGGTAGGACCAAGGGCAGAGCATCTGTCTCACGGGTTGAGGTTGGGAGACACCTTGCTCCAACAAGTGAGCACAGAGGTGCTCACCAATACTGAGTCCTACATTCTCTTTCTCCAACTTCAAGGTACCATGGCCCAGGAATCAGGAAGCCGAAACTTCCCAGAGCGAGGTGGAGGTGTGGTCTCGGGAAGGGAAATGAGCCACAGGGAGGGAAGTGCTCGGGTTTCATTTCCTCTGTGGGATGTTGGTATCCGAACTGAACAAAGGGGCACTAAGTCTCTTTCACCTACGGGGCCACCCCAGTGTTCAGAGCATCCTCCTAGCAGAGGCCTTTGTCTCCTGGCCTCTGCTTCCTTGTCTCTCTCCTGGGTGTAAGGCCGGTTCTCTACCTCACAATACAAACTGCTATCAGAGCGCCTGCCTCCCCACAGCGTTCCACTTGGGACTGAGACTCACACCCGCTGCCACAGTCTAAGATGGCTCCAGCCCCACACTCACCACCCATCTCACTTTCAGTCCTCCTGACAGGTACCAGACTCTGCTCACCGGAATCTCCTAGTTCTTCAAACTTCCGCATTCTTTCCTACCTGGAACACACTTTTTCGTGACTCCTCTGGTGAATTTACGAGGCTTCCGTCCACATCACTCTGTGTGCAGTTAGTCCGGTCTGTATTGCTGGGTCTCCAGCATAGGAGAGGGAGAAGGGCGCGAGGCACTTCTCCTCACCACTCTCTTGGCTAGGTTTTTGTTTGTTTGTTTGGTTTTTTGAGATAGGGTTTCTCTGTGTAGCTTTGGCTGTCCTAGAACTCACTTTGTAGACCATGCTGGCCTCGAACTCACAGAGATCCGCCTGCCTCTGCCTCCCAAGCGATGGGATTAAAGGGCCATTGGCTAGTTTTTATGTCACACGAGTCATA